ATGAATGGAAATCCAAAGTCTCTGTAAATTTTCATTGAAACTAATAATAAAAAAATTTAAAAAGAAAAAAAGGGGATAAATAATGCACACTGCACTAAAACAGATGAAGGAAAGGACTATTTAAAAGGAACATATGATTATATTATCTGCATGACAACAGTCCAGAATAAGAGCTGCATAGCAAAGTGGACTGAGGTGCGGGAGGAAAGTGTGCAACAATGAAAGAATTTTTTTTTCAAAGAGATAAAATAACTGGGGATGAGGTGGGTAGGGAGGAAAATGTGCAACAATGAATGAATAGATTTAAAAAAAAATGAAGGTCTGGTAAACATCGCGAGGGTACCATAGGCAGACACTGAAGAAGTGTGAGAAAGAAAAGGAGTGGGAAATGTAGTGTAGAGGACAAGACTTTTGCTTTAGAATAATATACATCTTGATTTTGTTCTTACTGTCAATATAACCTTAGGCAAAGGACTTCTCTCAATTTTCCATATCTCATCTACTAAAGGGAACCCTGGCGGGTTGGTCGTAAGGAGTTGCACTGCCAACCCCAGGGCACGTTCCAATCCTCCAGCTGTTCTGCAGAAGAAAGATGCTTTGCTACCTCCTCCCACACAATTTACTGTTTCTGAAAACCAACCAGAGGGCCAGCCATGGGTCGGTGCCAATGGTACCCAACATCTTCTATTTAAGTATGATTCATTCATTTTTCTAATAAATATGAAATTGCACTGACTACACACTGGCCACTGTCCTAGGCACTGGGGATATAAACGCTGAAAACCCTGATCTCACTGGGCTTCCAACCTAACAGCTGAATGCTTGGGCTCATTTTATAACAGGAAATGATATTTTTGCAGTTGGCACACAGTGTGCCTTCAACATGTCAAACAGGAGGGTTAGGGTTGCTGCTAATTGTGCACTGTCTCTTCCACAGGACTTGCCATCAGATCACGTCTCTTCACTCTTCATCATCACAAAAGCCACAGCACACTATACAACATAGCAGTGCACAGACTTGCTTTCTGAGAGGAGACCCTTTAACCATCTCGTTGGACTTATCTACCTCTTAGGTCCCACCTGCCAATGCAGCAGAAACAATCAGGTGAAAGGGGTGAACAAAGTGTTTAAATCTTTATATAACCATTTGCCAGATTTCTTTTAATCCTTGAAAAAATTTTGGTGCACCAACTATTCACAGACGAATCTCAGTCTATCTTGTGAATCCATATAGCCCGTAACATGTTTTAAATTCAACCCTGTAGTGTTAGTTTGCAACTCTTCTAAGTCTTTATTCCACTGCTCCAAGGCTGCCCTTCAGAGGCTGCCTTGTTTTTATTTTGTATTTCTGCCACATTTCCACATGCTGCAGCCATCCATCATTACTGCATACTTCTATGGAAGAAGAACCAGTGGACAGTTAACTTAGAAGCCAAAAAGAAGTAAAGATTGCCTCTAATATAGAAAAGGAGAATTTGTGAAGCAAGGGGGGTGGGGTGGGGAATGTTGACATTTTTGTCTTTCAGTAACAGTCCTAATTAACATTACTTGAGATGCTTGCTGTAGAATGGAGTGGATAAAAAGAAGAGTTAAATAAGTTATATTACCAAATTAATGCATGAGTATTTAGTAAACTCCAAATGAACATTTGATCTTTTTTAAATAAAAAAAATTCTAAAGAAGAAAAAAAATCTCGGGTTGAGAAACTGTGATACGAATGTACTACACCATGTACTACTACTCAGCACTCAGGAGCAACAATTTTGAAAAATACTACATAACTTGGGAGAAACTGGAGAGCATTATGCTGTGTGAACTAACTCAGTCTCGTAAGGACAAATAATGCACAAAACCATTCTTGTAAAAACAGAAAGACAATTAGTAAAAGTGTATGGAGCCCCAAGTGGAGAAGGGGTGGGAGCAAAAGGGTGAAGATGGGAAGGGGAGAAATCACAAGGTCCCACAATTTGGTTGGTGGAGGGAGGGTGTAAAGGAAATAGGAAAGATCCTATGAAAACCTTAAAAAACAGGGTAGTGGTTTACATAGTCTATCGAGGATTAATTTTTTTAAATTATTGATTAATTTTAATGAAAGTTTACAGAGACTTTGGATTTCCATTCATTCATTATTGCACTTTTCCCCCTGACCAACTTCCTCCCACTCCAGTTCGCTCTTCTCTTTGAAAAGTAAAAGAAAAAGTCTTTCATTGTTATACAATCCCTCCCAAATCCACTACACCATAAAACACAACGTATAAGAATGATTGTATGAAACACAATTGTCAATGAAGCAAAGTATGAAACACAATGTATACGAATTTTTTTTGGGAAAAAGATATTTGCAATGAGTGAAAACAAAATCTTGAGAGTTTGATGTTACTGTATATTCATTTCACCGGTGGAGAATCTTAGTCTCAGAGAAGTTGGGCTCCGGCGAGTGGGATTTTCAAAAGCAGTAAATCTCACTGCAGGAAACAGGCTATCCTTCTCCCTCTGAGCAACTGATGGATTTGAACCCTGTACCTTTACATTAGCAATGCAACTCCTCATCACTAAACCACCAGAAAGGTAGACTAAATTGCCCAAGGCTACTAGAACCATTAGGAGCGAAGCTGAACCCCAAATTCAAGTCTTTGAGTCTTCTCCAGTCACCTGATGATACCTTGTGCCAGGTACTGTGCTAGGTGGTGTACAGAAAGAAAAAAGATCCAGTCAAAACCCTTTGCCAGATGCAAAGTTCACGGAGGGCCCTCATTGATCACAGTCTCAATTTTGTGAGTGCGTGATGGTAAATGCTGCCTGGGAAAGCGCAGCTTGCCCTCACTGGGTGAGGGCAAGGAGTTTCCACACACCCTGGGGGCGGAGCCTGTGGCCACCAAGGGAGCCCCCACCCCACACTCCTGAACTGACGCGCCAGCCCTCTCCATTTACAGTGGCGGGGGAAGGGGAGGGTTGGGAGGGTT